CTGTTCCTGAGCCCAGCTGCTCTAATGATTATCAAACAACGGATTTCCAATCCTAAACATAATGATTGGCAATTTATACCCACCTGGGTTTGCGCCACCATCATTCTTCACCCTGAACAGCTTTTCACATCTTCCTGAAATTTATTTTTACTATTTTTAGGAAAAAAAAAACCCCAAAAAATCTCTTTCCCTGCTCAGCTTCTTTGCTAGGTAACAAATCACAGTCTTTTTGTGCTCAATGCTTGCATGTCCCCTGATCACTCCATTCCTCAGTTCTACAGAAAATAATTTGGCCAACAGATCCCAGATTTACCCAGTGTGACCCAGTGCCTCACAGTGTCAGCCACAAGTGTCCCCAGGTCACAGAAGCACAGAATGGTTTGAGTTGGAATGGACCTTAAAAGCTCATCTGGTCCAACTCCCCTGCCATGGGCAGAAGCATCTTCCACTGGACCATCCAGTGGTCCTTGTCCGCTTGGATAATTGAGAATCTCCAACCACCAGGGAAATTTATGGGTTTTCCCCAAATATTCCATCAATTTTCTCAGCAGGCATGATGACATCCATCTGCATGAGGTGGATATTGTAGGAGTATTCCTTGATTTCACTGCAATTCAAGGAACCAGTGTAAATCCTTCTCATTTCCCAGAAGTAATTCTGTGGAATGACTTCATTCATCCTGGAAAATCGAGTGTGCTGAGTCACCAATCAGTCCCTGTGGTCCAGAAAGGCAGCTGGACTCATGTCCAAGCAGCCAGACCCTGCTGCTCCCGAGGGTCTGGTCCTGCTGGAACTGCTCTTGGGAACCATCCCCTGTCACCCCCAGACCTCAGCTGGGCTTTGGAGCTCATAAGGCTAAAACCATATCAGTGACCATTCCAGCTGCTGAGGAGTGTGCCTTGGGCAGGGCAGCACCTGGGCTCAGGCCATAACATAGAATAAAACAGCCCAAACTGGGTTGCAATAACTGTAGCTCACTCCATGACCCAGTTCTGATGACTCCTCAGCAGAGAGATCTGCTGCTAAACTGAAGGTTGGACTCAGTTGCCCAAATTCACTTTGGGCATGATGTCCATCCACTGTCCCAGAAGCTCACAGGACTTCTCCAGATCTTTTCACCCTACACAGCCCCACACAAATGGCACAGATTCCCTCAAGAGTCACACATTGCACCAGGCGCTACATCAGGCAACCAAATTTTTCCTCTACCATCCCATACAGAATTCCCAAGCCATCAGACATTTGTGTTCAAGTTTTAGAAACTGCAGTAGCTTATCCAGGGTGGATCAGCCAGGTCAGAGCACAGGCCCATACTGGGCTTTTGTAGAGGAAAAAGGTTTGGGAGCTCTACTTCAAGGCCCCACTAACACAACCCAAAGAGGGAAGATGGCAGGAGAAAGAAGAATGTGAACGGCCATGAAGAAAGAAAAAAAAAAAGCCAGCAGGAAGGTGAGGGCCATGATGGAGCTGCTGGAGAAACTCCAGAGGAACCCACAAAGATCCTCCAAGGGCTGGAGCCCCTCTGCTCTGGAGCCAGGCTGGGAGAACTGGGGGTGTTTCCCTGGAGAAGAGAAGGATCCAGGGAGAGCTCAGAGCCACTTCCAGGGCCTAAAGGGGCTCCAGGAGAGCTGGAGAGGGACTTGGGACAAGGGATGGAGGGACAGGACAAGAGGGAATTGCCTCCCAGTGCCAGAGGGCAGGGATAGGTGGAAGGAATTCTTGACTGTGAGGGTGGTGAGGCCCTGGCACAGGGTGCCCAGAGAAGCTGTGGCTGCCCCTGGATCCCTGGAAGTGTCCAAGGCCAGGCTGGATGGGTCTTGGAGCAAGCTGGGACAGTGGAAGGTGTTCCTGCCCATGGCAGGGGGTGGAATGGGATGGGCTGGAATGTTCCTTCCAATCTAAACCATTCCATGATTCTAAGATAATGAACAACAATTAAAACTTCACTAAAAGGGTGACATTGGACTTTTTCCACTCGGAGCAGGATTACAAAACCACACTAGAAACAAAACCTGCTGACCATGATATACTTTGCATTTTTATGCTCAGAGATGGAATTATTTCATTTTCGTCTTTTCTAGCATGGGCAAATTCCAAAAGGACAAGTTGAAATGGAAAAACACTCCATTGCTTTTTTTTTTTTTTCTGCAGGCTGCATTTTTCCATTGACCCAGCAGCATTAATAAACATTGCAGAACTTTCTGAGGGGAAGATTTCCCATCCCCTCTGTGCTCTACCTCATTACCTTTTCATTTTGTTTTGTTTGCTTCTTCCTGTCAGGATAAACATGAGGCACTGTCAGGCAAACAGCAGGTCGGGGGAAGACATTTTTTAATGTTCACAGAACAACCTGACCTCCTGCTCACAGCCACTAAAAGGGAAATAAGGAAACCCTGTGTTTTAAGTCCTAAATGCTAATGAGGTTCTCTATTTGATTTGTTTCTCCTTCCCAGCAACACTAATTTCAAATTGAACCACTGACTCAATTAGCAAAATGTTGAATTTGGTGAGACTTTGTGTAATAAAATGTCCCAGTAACAAAGAGGAAGCCAGCAGTGGTTTGGTGCCAGTAACTAAATCCATTTTAATGGGATATTTTAATTAAACAAATTAAATTAATGATGGCCTCTGCACAATGATGAATTACACTATTTAATAGATCATTGCTACGTGCTAATCCCTTTTTTAATATTATCTTCTAACATTGATCCACGCATAGACACACAAGTCATAAACTAAGCTCAAGAAAGAAAAACAAATAATGGGTGCAAAGGGGCCAAATAATGGAAAATGTGGGATGATCTTAGTTCAAAAAAAAAAAAAAAACAAACCAGTTTCGGTTGAGGTTATGGCAATTATTCACCATTATGGGATAATGGAAACCAGGTGGAATCTATAGTGCCCTCAATGAGGGGTTAAGATTGGATATCAGGAGGAATTTCATCATGGAAAGGGTTGTTAAACACTGGAAGGGGTCCAAGGAAGGCCAATGGGGCACTCAGTGCCCTGGGCTGGGTGACAAACTGGGGATCAGTCACAGCTTGGACTCGATGGCCTTGAAGGTCTTTCCCAACCTTAATGATTCTGTGAGGGGGAGGACCCAGATAATTTTATCATCTTTTAAGGAGATCTAACTTTATTTTTTGGCTATATTTAGAAGGCAAGGGTAGGATATAAATATTGGGATTGGTGACATTGGAGGTTTTTTCTGACCTAAATGATTCCGTGATTCTGCATGCGATTTACCTGATGTGGCACCTTGAGGGATTTGAGTCAGAGCTGAGCCAGTCTAGAGGCTCTGAAACCTTTCTGCTCACAGGCAAAAAGGGGAAAAAGAAGGGGGAAAAAAGGTGTTTACAAGGACTGCTAAAGACAAATAGAAATGGAATGTCCTTAGGGATGGCTGGGATTTCCATGCAGCTGGAAGAGGGTCCATAAAACAAATGGGAACACAAGCAAGACTAAGGGTAAAACAGGGAGACAAGCAGCACCTTAAAGCTGGGAGACAACAACAAATACTAGGAATCATGGTAAAGGCTCTTCTTGTGCCATAGTCTTCTATAAAATATCCAGTTTGCCATAGTTTTCCATTAAAAAGTCCCATTTGGGCTGTTTTAGAACTGCACCAGAGCTCCACAGACACCAGACTGCAAATTATTTTAGAGGATTTTTCATGTCATTGACAACTACTTAGGCTGAGGGGATCTGAGGTCTGGCTTGCTGATAAAGACTCCGGGAAAGATTATATGGGATTAAATGGGAATAGGTGACAAAATGGAATGAAAAAAAAGAAGCAAGGTGCAAACACAGCTGGATAATAAAATCATACAAAGTATATCAGGAATGCTCATAGAAAATTTAACATTTGGCCTTAGAATCCTGGAATTCAAAGGATTACAGGAAATGGAATAAAAACCACTTTTTAATGAAAACAAATAAAAGAAGCATGGACCTGAAAAGGACCTATTCATCTGCCACAGAGAGAGCTCTTCAGAGTTCTCTAAAGTACATCCAGCACTAAATTCCCCTCACCCAGGCAGGACCTGTCTGCCTGGAGAAATGTCAGAGCTCAGAACACACACCACACAAGGGCACAGGAGGCACAACCATCATTTCTGACAACCTGTCCTCTCCAGGTGTTGGAACAAGATGGTCTTTAGGGTCCCTTCCAACCCAAACCACTCCATGATTTCACGATTTACCAAGCTCATACTAATTCGCAGATCCCATCTCCCGCTGGCTTTGTCTCCCATGAAAAAACTGCTCTATAATAGATTTATTTCTGCAATGGTGTGCCATAATGACATTATGGAATCACAGAGTCATTAAGGTTGGAAAAGCCCTTGGAGATCATTGACACCAGCCATTCCCAGCACTGCCAAGGCCACCACTGAGCCATGTCTCCAAGTGCCACATCCACGTGGCTTTTAAATCCCTCCAAGGATGGGGATGCCCAACACTGCCCTGGGCAGCTGTGCCAGGGCTGGACAACACTTTCCATGAAGGAATTGTTGCTAAAATCCTTATCCTGATTCCATTCTACAGAAAATGTTTAAAAATTAAGAAGTGTGCTCTGTATTTTAGTCAACTGCCCTTTAGCTGAATTTGAGAATCACAGCTCAGAATCCTGGTGTTTGTGCCTGAGGGGATGGATGAGTGAAGAAGCCCCAGACAATGTGGCAGGATGCTAACTCAGTCTTCCTAAGGATTTCAGAGCCAGAACAAATCAAAGAAGAACTGCATTTAAAATAATTAAAAAAAAAAAAAAGAAAAAGAAAAAAAACCCCCACAGCTACAGGTGTAGATTGTGAACTGGCATTATCCTCCCTTGTTTAAAAAATGACATGGTAATTCTAATGACAAACTCTGTTATAAATAGACACTTAATTACAATATCTTAGGTCTGGCATCTGCATTTTCACCATCTTAAAGGCAGAATCTGAGGAGGGTTCACTGCAAACTGGAGACCTGAGCAAGACAAAAGGAAATGTGAAGTTCAACCAAACCCAAAATCTGCTGCTCTTCACACCCTCCACTTCACTGCTGGTCTGCAGGCACTTTTCCCACGAGAAGGAAGGAAATGACCCTGGAATGTCCTGGCAGCTGCCACCCCTGGGACTCCCTCTCCCAAAACATCCCAGCCCTCTGACCAAGGGATGATGGACATCCTGCACCTGAATTTGGCCACTTTGAGCATTTTTTTCCTCCTCTCCCTCCCAGTCCATGGGTCCAGTGGCTACAGCAGCTACCATAGAAACCAAATTGCTGTTCTGCAGCACAAGGAGCAGATGTCACACACGGAGCAGCAGCAATGGGAATGTGGGGAGGGGGATAGATGCAGAAAGAGGAGGAGGAGGCAAAGGAGGAGGAGGAGGAGGAGGAGGAGGGAAAGCAGCATCACACATTCAGAATGAAATGTTCCCACCAGAGGGAGTGAGTCATTCCTGAAGTAAAGTGCAAAGCTGCAGGGCTTTTTTCCCTGCCGCTCTCAATGCACATCTGCAAACACGGACGTACAAATCTCCACCCTTTGCTGGATGCAGGGGGAATGGAGCAGCACAGGATGAGGAGCAGGTGGGGGTACTTAATGCCTTCTTTGCCTCAGTGTTGAACAGTCAGAGCAGTTGTTCTCCAGAGAGAAACAAGGAGCAGAATGAATCCTGTAACCCAAGGCTGTCATCAACCTGCTACACCTCTAAGACAAGCCCATGGGGTGGGATTGATCCACCCAAAGATGCTCAGCGAGCTGCCAGAAGCACTCCCTGAGCCGCATTCCATCATTTCCCAACATCCTGGCAAACCAGGGAGATTCCAGTCCACAGGCAGGAAATGTGACTCCCATCACATCAGGGGACACACAGCCATCGTTTGTGGATGGTGAATCCACCACACAGGACAACAGGAAATGGCCTCAAGCTGCACCAGGGGGATTTAAACTGGATATTGAGAATAATTTCTTTCCCAAAAAGGTTGTCCAGCCTTGGCACAGTTGCTCAGGGTAATGGTGCAGTCACCATTCCTGGAGGGATTTAGAATCCATGTGGATGTGGCACTTGGGGACATGGCTCAGTGGTGGCCTTGGCAGTGCTGGGATGGTTGGACTGGATAATCTCAGAGGGCTTTTCCAACCTAAATAATCCCATGATTCCATGATTCTAAAATTCCATGATTCTAAACAACCCTGCTTTTGCCTCTTGCACAGGTGCTTGCCTCCCTGATGCTCTGCTCTCTAATGAACACCGTGACTGCCTCATGATGTAAATTAATGCCTGGCCTATCCCAAGTATCTCAGACAGAATTGTGCTGCTATTTCCAAAATGCCCTTCAGAGCTTCTTCCCCTCCTCTCTTTCCAGGACAGTGCAGAAATACAACTTTGTGTGAAGCCAACATATATTAAACAGGAATTTTATATCAAAAAGTAACTCACTTTTTAAGAGCAGCAAGCCATAATACATGATGATACATTATACATTTGTAAATTGTTTGCTAATTTAAAATAAAAAATAATAACAACCAGTCTGGAGTTGTGTTTGATTTCCTCTGATCTTACTATTCAAAATTAATTTCTTTGCCTCAGGGGCCTGGAGGGACAGGACACAGGGAATGGCTTCCCAGTTCCAGAGGGCAGGGATAGATGAGATACTGGGAAGGAATTCCTGGCTGTGAGGGTGGTGAGGCCCTGGCACAGGGTGCCCAGAGAAGCTGTGGCTGCCCCTGGATCCCTGGAAGGGTCCAAGGCTAGGTTGGACAGGGCTTGGAGCAACTTGGAACACCTGGGAGGTGTCCCTGCTCATGATCCTTAAGGTCCCTTCCAACCCAAACCATTCTAGGATTCTATGATAAATCACAAATAAATGGGATGGAACAAATGCCAAGCTCTCCTTTAGCAGGAGTGTGGGATGAATTCACAATTCAACAACAGCAGAAAACGATAAAAACCTGATATCTACCTCTCCAGATTGTAAATATTTCAATGACAGCCCAACATCTACGGGTGTCCTTCCCAAAACTCACATGGGGAATGTTCATTTGTGAAATGCCCATCTCCTGCTTCCCACAGCAAAATACACAAAGCACAGAATCCTCTTTTTGTCGTAATTTATAAACCCCAGCAGGATAATTCTGCTGTATCTGATCCATGAAATGATGCTCCAGGAATCACACAAATATGGACAAATAACCAAAAGTACAGAAAACCTGATGGTTTGTGTGGCACAAAGAGAAGGGGAAAGCTCCTTATTCCCTGCCCTTGCAGAGGAGCTCGAGCCCACTAGAGGGCAATGAAAGAAATCAGGATTTCTCCAGCCCTGGAAAACCCCCTAATTTCGCACTGAAGGTTTTTCCTTTGATAATATATCACGGGATAATGGGGAAGTATATTTCCTAGGATTGTTGGCACATAAAATAGCAGCCACATACATAGAACGGCAAGAAGAGCTGGATGAAAAATCACCACCCAGGATATAATTAGCTGATTGAGATAAAAATAAAAAATATTACAGAAAATAAAATGATGATGATGTTAAAAGTGCACATTTGTGTATGTGTGTGTGGAGCAGGAGGAGTGATGCTACAATCCCTCACTGCAATTTTTCAACTCCTCTTTCTTTTTTCCAGAATTTTTCTTTGGGTGTTTTAATCTCCACAAAACTTCATGGTTTGGGCTGAAAGTTGTCATTGCTGAAGAAAACTGATTTTTCTAAATTTATAGGACAGCCCCTCATCCATTTGTGATAAATACAACTGTATGTATTAAATACTTAATAAATAAATATATAAATTTAATTATTGTGCTTTCCATATTAAAAAAAAATTCTAGATTATCTAGAAATATCTAGAAAATATCTTTAAGGAGTGCAAAAACCTTTAACTTTGGGTGTTCTTCAGCATGAAGCACTGCCAATGAAGCCAAATTTGCCTAATTTTTTAGCTTTTTAAGGAAAATATGGGTTTCACATAGTCAGTAAATTATTAAATGGTTAATATTGAAAATTTTAGAAGAGACAATGAGCACCAGTTCCCTGACCCCTTCAAAAGAGAAAATAAGACAACACAAACAACACAGGGCCAATTTGTAAATGGGTAAAAACAAAAAAACAAACAAACAAACAAAAAAAAAGCCAAAAAACCAGCAACAAAAAAAAACCAAACCAAGCAAACGAACAAAAACCCCACCTCCCAAAAAAAGAAATAACATTCAAATGAAAGGGAATATAATTAGTGCCAATCAATGTTTTTTGTAGAAAACAGGTCAAATATAAACCCAACATCTGTCTTTGATGCTATTACAAGTTCAGCTGACACAGGAAGATTTGCAGATCCAATGCAGTGAACATTTTGTGTTTGATTAAGTATCATAAAATTATTTTCATTAAAAAAAGAAATGCAAAAATGGTATTGATACAGGGAATGATAACTGGATTAAGATGGACTTTCACCAGGATTGTTGTGAATTGCAGTGATCAAGGCTTAGAAATAATTTTAAAATTAGTGCTGGTAAAACTGGGAGATCACGTGAAGGTCAGAGTTACTGCTCTGGACCACTGAGATCATTGGAATGGAGTTAAATCTCAAATTGCCTCCATAGCTTCCCTGAAAAAAATCCAAAATTCCACCCTCACCCTTTGTCTGGATACAGCTCTTCCCCCTGCCCTTCTCCACCACCTCACAAACGGTCTTGATGTGTAAAACAGTCTTTTCTTCTGTGAACACTTTAAATACAACTCCTTTAAAACTTGAAAGAGACCTGGTTTAACCGAGCCAACTAAAAATAACCAAAGCACAGGAGAAAGGAGAAGCCACACTGGAAATACATTAACCCAAAAAATCCATAGGAGGCTGCTTGCTCGGGGAAAGGTCAGGATCAAATACTGGGTTTAATACTGGGGCTTGAAGCAGGGATTCACTGAAAGTGATTTCTCAGTCTTTGATGACCCTTCCTGCACAAAACTCCATGGCCCTGCCCTAGCAGGTATCTTGGGATGCTCTAGGCAGCAAGAAGAGGAAATATATTTTGTCCACTTTACGTTGGGTAGTTGGATTCACTTTCAGACCCAGTGAGTAAATGACACCTAATAAGTGTCAGCTAGAAAAAAATACAAGTTTTTCTTTGTCTGAAAGGACAAAAAGGAGGGAAGTTTTTTTTCAGAAACACAGGACTGAGGGGGAAAAAGTAGAAAATCTGAGGACTGGGGAAAATGTGGAAGAAAAGGATGAGGGAAAACAGTGTCAGAAGATTCTTCCCTGTAAGGATGGTGAGGCCCTGGCACAGGTTGCCCAGAGAAGCTGTGGCTGCCCCTGGATCCCTGGAAGTGTCCAAGGCCAGGTTGGATGGGGCTTGGATCCACCTGGGATGGTGGAAGGTGTCCCTGCCCATGGCAGGGGGTGGAATGGGATGGGCTTTAAGGTCATTTCCCACCCAAACCGTTCTGGGATTCTGTGATTTCATGATAAAACAAAAGGAAAGATCAGTCTACAAGAGATCTGTGGAAGTCAATAAAGGAGAAAAAACACTTGATGGAAAAAGATCATGAGATCAAACCAGACATGACAATGTTTCTGGCTAAACATCCTCTGATTTTTCCTTAAAGGAAGTATTGACTTGTTTTACCCAGAGCTGAGAGGTCTCTTTGATGTACACTTCATACAGAAAATAAAACACACAATCCTATGGCAGTTCTTTGGGCAACACAAATACTGAGAGGAACAAAACTCCAGGGCCAGATTTTTGTCTCAATTGCATTACTGGAAATCCAGAGTAATTCCATGGATTCAAATGGTGTTGCTCTGGATTTGCAGCTTTTGGATGATCTGCACTGGGTCCTCTGAGGGAATCTTGAGAGATATTTAAGAAAATAGTAACATCAGCTGGAAAACAACTTCAGCAGGGATGAATTGTCAACACAACTGGCTATCAACAATCTGGTTATCAAATCATGGGGACCTGAGTGTTTAAGTGGACCCTCCTATGTCCATATTCAGAGGCCTGAGCAGGATAATTTATAAATGTTGAGTATCTGTCATTTCCACATGAGAGCTTTGTGGAACTCAGAACTTCCTGAAGTGTCATCATGCTCCGATACATTTTTTGCTTTGTATTTCAGAGTTGGGTAAACAGTGGGAAAGTGTTCCATGAGCATTCATTTGAATCCTGGCTCAGGCACACTTCTGTCCCTGAGAAAATGAGGTTTGAGGAGTGTTTTTGGATCCCACAGCTCAGCACTAGAGACGAACAAACTGTTTGGAGAGCAGAAGTAATGCTCCCATGCTCATTAGAAATGTCACTTTAAAAAAAGGCTTTTTCATTATTTTTTTAGTTTGTATGGAAAACTCAAACTAGGCCAATCTCTCTCCCCCTCTCAGTCCATGCAGAGATTCCCACTTCAAATCTTATCCTTCACCTGGACATGGATGGATCCAAAGAGCAGAACAGAATTAAGACACATTTTCACACATGATGAGACTGAACACATCTGGAGATGATTCCTCAGGTTCATTTCCTGGAAATTTTTTCCTTAGGTCAGTTTTAAGGGCTGTGTTTAACCCAAAGAGAACAAAAACAGCACCAGCTAATGACCATCATGTTCCTTTTACCTTGACTTTTTTCTATTTTTATCCTGTCCTCCCTATAACTAATCTCTCAGTTAAACTAAACTCCCTGAAAGCTTCCTGAAGAGAAGGAATTCCATCCTGTCCCCTGTAAATCCTGTGTTCACTTAAACCACCATTATTAAGGTCATTATCACATTTATGCACCTGACATTTAATGTGCTTGTGACACTTCCAGTATGCTGTAACAGATGCATAATCAACATCAAGGAATTCAAAAGCCTGGACTAGAAGCTCTTCAGAAGGATCCCAGATACCACTGAACAATATCAGAAAACATTTCCAGGTTGATGGGAAGGGATTTAACCTCTGTGTTGGCATCAGTGCACATTCCACTATTTTTCCTTGGCACTGGGATGACCCAGGACCCACAGGAGAGCTGTGCCCAGCTGGAGGCCAGGTCACAGAGGGTAGGACCCCTCAAACAACAGCTCAGCCCTCTAAATCTTCATTTTCTGAAGCAACATGAGGCTCTGCCCTGGAGATTGAGAATTCATCTGCCTAAGGACATGAACATGGGATGTCTACACAAATCCAGCATGTTTTTACATTAATGGCAGGCTGAACAGGGCAAGCCACACAAAGCAAGAAATGTTTTATTTACAACCCACTTTTTGAGTCAAATCCATTTGATATTTACATTAGTTTATTACAGGGCAATTTCTAGCATTAGTTTAAATGTCCAATATACTTCACATTCCCAGTGCAATAAAGCAAACGGCTCCTTCAGTGACCCCCATGACCTCCCAGATGAAAAAAAAATGATTGCAAAATATAAACTCGGGTTTCATCCTGCTCTTCTTGGTTCTAAATCCAAATACAGGATCAGCTGTATTTGCAACAGTCAAAGGGCCAAATGAAATGCCTGGCTTTTATCAAGTGAAGACAATAAATGCAGAATTGAAAGCTATAAAAACCTTGCTTTTCTCAGCATTAATAAAAACA